TCAGCACAGCGCGTCTGAACACTGTAGGCTGCGGTGCGGTGTGTGTGTGTGTGTGTGTGTGTGTGTGTGTTTTAACGAACCACAGAATTGGACACCGTGTTCGGTCGCGTTCATTGAACGCGCGTTCATTCCGTTCAAAAATTGAGCGGACACAGCCATCAGGCCCTGGGGTGTCTGCATCCAGATCTGACATCTGGGTCGGACAACTTGCAGGACATCATGGTGTTCACAAGCCAACTTCGCAATTCGTTTTGTTTTCTTTAATGATGTAAATCTCAAAATTTCAGAGGAAAATTATAAAAGATTGTTCCAAAATTTCTGCCAAGAGATTTAAAAGTAAACCTAATTTGTTTTTTGAAAATTTTTCGTTCAGGAGAATTTGCAAAATACCCCCAGAAGCTGAGATAGATGCCAAAATGCCCCTAAAAGATGTGAGTAGAGCAGCATGCCCCTCTGACAACATACCCCTGGCGTCGGTTGGACCCCCCATCTTTGCAATATACCCCTACCGGATACCGTGCAACTTTGCAACATGCCCCCGTTCTTGCCAACTTCTCCTAGGTGCTATGGCCTTTTGGCCAAGGCCCAAACGGGGAGGTCCAGATTGCAAAGTTGCACACCCGCCTGACAGGGGCACAACGCAAAGATTTCGGCCCAAAAGGGCATTCCGCTCTACCCACATCTTTCAGGGGCACTTTGGCATTTATCTCAACTTATGAGGGTATTTTGCAAATTATCCCTTTTCGTTTTCAACTTTTCATTCTCAAATATTTTACCAAAGGCGTCAAAAATTAAAAAACTGTGCAAAATAATAATACAATACTATAAAATATTCGATACCATCCTAGGCTACCAGAGTGGCCTGGGACCACATCCCCGACCGGGCCAAAACATACAAATAAAATTAATATATATATCGTCACAAACAGAACTGCCCGGTGAAACCGTAGGCAGAGAGAGAGAAGAGGACAACAAACGAGGGGCTGTGACAAACTGTTTCGTCGGAGTTTCACCGACTCATCAGGAGGCTGAACCCTGATATATATCGTCAAATAGAACTGCCGACGGTAAACCGTAGGCAGAGAGGGAGAAGAGGACAACAAACGAGGGGCTGTGATATAGTCAAACAGAGCTGCCCAGTAAACCATAGAAACGAGGGGCTGTGACAAACTGTGTCGTCGGAGTTTCACCGACCATAGTTTTGGATTTTTTTTTAATTTTAAATTTGGATAAGAATTTTGATGTGACCCTGAGGCAAAAGTTGTTCAGTTGATTTTTCTGCATAACGTAGTTTTTTTTTCAGATTTTTTCTTTTTTCTTTTTGCTGGGACCCTCTTTGGTCCTTGCATACCCGGGCCGCCCCTGGCAAACAAGGTCACCCGGGCATCCCGGCTGGTAGCCCAGATACAATCCCCTCCCCCCCCAAAAAAAAATTAAAAAAAAAAATTCAGTACAATGATGCAAACTATTACAAACTCACACTGGTGGACGGTCGCCACAAACTTCCTTACCCAAACCACACTCAAAATAAGAAAATAGAAAAATCAAATGCACTGCAATACACCCCATCAAATCACAGGACCCCTTTTTGTACCCCTTTGCACCCCCTTTGCAACCCCCTCCAAAGTTCAAAATCAAAACCCTCCTTCGGGATACAGGCTCGGATTTGGCCTCCGTTTGACAAGAGCGAAAAGGGTGACCCCACTAACCACGAAATGCATAAAAAATGGCAAGCATATCTTTAGAGGGTGGTACAAAAGGGGTCATTGTTTTGTCTTTTTCACGTTCGAACAGTGGTGGAACATCACCCCCTTATGGTACGAAAAGATGGAAAGATACAATCGTCGTTGTTTTGGCGGCGAAAAGATACACTCGTCGTTGTTTTGGCGGCTTTTTCATGTTCGGAGAGCGGTGGAGCGACACCCAATGGTACTAAAAGATGGAAAGATACACTTGTCATTTCGTTGTCGTCTTTTTCTCGTTCGGAGAGTGGTGGAGCGACACACAATGGCACACAGACTAAAAGACCGCCACCCAGAGTCAAAACCCCGCTGTACTCTGACAGTGTCCCTGTCCAGCGCAACGGAACAAGGAGGAATAAAAACGAACAAGACCATTGCGACTTGCCGCCAAAAAGAGACAAGGGCGCAACTTGAGAACTACCGTCTTCCCCACGAACATAGCGCACCCTGATGCTGAATCTGTACAAACTATGGTTCCGGCCGACAGATACAGTCAAAGTGAGTGTGCGTTGAGTTTGAGGGAAGACGGTAGGTATGAGCCCCAGAGACCCACAACACTGGTTGGGTGAAAGCGAGGTCGACGTCTTCTACGTCACCAAGCAGAGAATTGAGAATAAAGTAGCCGCCTCAGAAGAACGGCCATAGCTTGTACATAAACACAAGGGTCAAGACCCCATTCACCCTCCGTTCAGACCAAAGTTAAGGCCAGCATGGTGACCGTCCTTTGCTCATTGACAACCGAAGTTACCTCGCATTCTCAGTTTCCGCTAAAGATGAGCGAAAGAAAACTCAGAGATAAGAAGAAAAAAAACGAGTTCCTTGTCGAAGAGTCGATGAAACATACTTCCGCACACGAATCAAAACAAGCACAACTCTTCTACGTTCTCACTCATCGACAAAGGAAGGAGCTACTCTGTCAGGAGTACTGTCCTTGGTCTCCGGGGAACAAACTGGGAAAAACAGTGCTCTCCTCAGGCGGTCGGTCGTTACCAACGTCTCCCGCGCATGCAGTCCCACAAATTGGGACAGCGCAGACCCGCAAATTGGGACAGCTACTGTCTTGCTGCATTCTCAGCCGACCAGAAACCCTTGGCTAAATGTGATTCCGCAAAGACATATAAGAACCGCAACATTAGCCCAATCTAAAGGCGTCATCGATAGCTCAGAAAGAAGGAAAGTGCGATGTTGTTTCGCACTTCCTCGAAACCCCCTAATGATCATACTCTCAGCAATGAGCTCAGTATGACGAAAGAGGTTGGCGAAAAGCCTTCCGAAAAGAGCGCACAGCACATCGAAACTTCCGCGCAGCTTCAGCACCTCCCAATTGACTCCACGGGCGACTGCTCCGAGCACAAGGTTTCGCAGCTCATCGAATACAACACCCATGAAGCGCAAGGACAGCAGAAGAGTGAGCACGACTTCGTCAACATCCACCTTCACGACTTTCAAAGGCTGAAGGTACCACCTCAGTGACGCCGTGAGCTGCTCGGGAGTCGTGGTCGTCAGAACCAGATTCGCACTCTCCAGTATACAAAACGACAAACAGGCCGCTATCAACCCGAACGATAGCCCTCTACGTGTCACCAGTATGGGACCCGCATTCAGGAGAACATAGGAATAACCCCCAGGAGCCGGCCGAATGGGCACCAGCTTATCTAAGTGCGGCGGGGGGACGCGCGGTTGGGTAATTGGCGGAATTCCGTCCGTACCGAGGACCGTCGTGATGAATATGAAGAGGCACAGTGCTGCAAGCTTCCGCAACTGGTTCTTCCACAGGTTTTGAGGCAGTGCCGCCACCGCCACAGCCGCAAGGGCTATTACTAGATTCACCCTGGTAACCCATCCCGCACGAGCTGGAAGCAACACACACGCTATCAGCCATGCCTGCTTGACACGTGGATCTAGTCTGTGGAGGGACGTGACCGGCTCAGCGACATACGACCCAATTGGCGTTGATGTCAACTTGAGCAGATTGTCAAGCAACCGCTCCCCGAAGGGCGGCGGCTTCAGGGATGCCAGAGAAGGCATGGCACCTCCCGCCTTGCGCCCTTGTCCCGGGTGCGAGTCCTTCTGGGAGGGTTCGGCGGACTGACCAGTCGCTGCCACCACAACGTTTCGTCTTCGCCATGCCCCGGTCTCTGGCAAGTTCATCAGCCGACATTTTGCCATGCTGAAGGGGCAAGAGTTCCGGCACCCATGATTACGCCCACGATGACCGCTTCGAGCTGTTGTTCGCCCATCAGCAGCCATGCCCTCTAACAGAGTAAACGACAAGCAAGAGTTAACCCGACACCACGATAGCATCCTTTGTAGCGATCCCCCTCTCCTAACCCCATGCGGACAGCATCCTCTTTGCTGACCACCAAGCTGCCTCCCATCGCCGAGATACTGGAGCTTAGTGTTCGGAGAAGTTCGCAGCTGCAAACACGACCGCGAGACATGGAGATCGGTAGGCGTGGTCACCCATAACAGTGATACCGCATTTGAATGCCACACGGACCTGGCGGAACTTTGAGCACCACTGCACATAAGCAACCCGCTTCTTGCACACCTAGCCGAGTCCAACACTCTGCGATGAGCAGAAAGTGTCGCTGGAGGCAGATCGCCTAGATTCACACAATGGGCAACCATATCGACAGTGGGAAGCATCATTTCCGCTATGCAGCGATCACCATTTACCAGTGTTCAAAAAGCTTGTCCCTTACTATACTCTACTCACCTTCTGAAAGGCAATTCACCTGCTAACACCAGGCACTTGTGCAGGGTGTACAGAGTAAGAGAGACAACAATGTCTCTCTTACGACTGGCTTCTCAAAGGGCTCTCTACCTTCGAGCCACCACTCTATCATCCAAGAACCAAGACGATACGTCGAGAGGTGTTCCGAACTTAGTGGCAAAGAAAAAGACAGTCAAGCACACCTCTGAGCCCCCTCATCTGGTACCAAAGACCTCTGCTACGCTCCTGTAAGGCAAATTTTGTCCCCAAGGTAGGACTTCTGGGAACGGTAGGTAGGTCGTGTGATCCACTACCGACAATATCTTTGACCGTTCTCGCGTTTTCTACGCACCCACCGCAGGTGTGATAATCAAAATGTTACATTATCTAGGTTCCAGCACTGAGTGTGGGGACCACCGCACGGTGAGCAAATTCCCTCTGCTCTCCAGCACCCTCTCAGACTGGGCTATTGAGGTGTGCACCTAAGCAATTAATTACCATAGGCTCTAGTCCCTCCCTACACGCCAATAACTGAGATAAACACACGAAATATCGCACCTCAATCACGCAATGGCCAGCACTGAGTGCGGGGACCGCACGGTGAGCAAATTTCCTCTGATCTCCAGCACCCTCTCAGACTGGGCTATTGAGGTGTGCACCTAAGCAATTAATTACCATACGCTCTAGTCCCTCCCTACACGCCAATAACTGAGATAAACACACGACATATCGCACCTCAATCACGCAATGGCCTGCTGCAGCTCAGCACAACACACCTGCATCCAGTCAGCAGTGGATCCAGCACTGAGTGCGGGGACCGCACGGTGAGCAAATTTCCTCTGATCTCCAGCACCCTCTCAGACTGGGCTATTGAGGTGTGCACCTAAGCAATTAATTACCATAGGCTTGAGTCCCTCCCTACACGCTAATAACTGAGATAAACACACGAAATATCGCACCTCAATCACGCAATGGCCTGCTGCAGCTCAGCACAACACACCTGCATCCAGTCAGCAGTGGATCTAGCAACCTACAGATAGCCTCCTGCAGCCACTATGCTCTACACAACCGACCACCCAACCGTGAACCTCGCAAAATTCCGCGGCCGACTCGCTCCAACAACCCTGGAAGACCACACAATCTGAACTGCCCACTCTCTCTCTCTCCTCTTACCCCTAACAAAAAGAATGGTGCACACAACACTTATCAAAGAAGCTTTAGATGGACATCACCGTCCCACTCCCATGCATCTGGCAAACTGCTTCTTTGCCAAATTCCGAAAAGAACATGGATGGAAGAGCAGACGTGCAGTCCATCTGTATACATCGCTGTCCCCATGCACGGCATCCGCCAAACTATTCCTCTGGCCGAATTCCACAAAAGAAGATGAATGGAAGAACACCAGCACTATCTATCTGTCGACAAATGCGGCTACCTACGCCCAATGCCCGACCAACGGTCGGTCTACTACAGCACTTGTTGTCTGCAACTGTGGCTAACACCTCTACCCGAACGCCCCAACCAACAGCAAGTGTCGCTGCCGTCTGTGTGACTGACACTCACTCGCAGACAGATGGGGGTAAAAACTGTGGCTATCAACCCGAACGCCCCAACCACACTCACTTAGAGACAGATGGAGCAGTCAAACAGTCTATACTTCAAGAATGTGTAGTTGTGTTGTGGACCGCCACATCACTCTACAAAGTCTGCTTGCTTCTCCACTTTGATCACACGGCGACGCCTTCCCAGATTCAACACAGTCCCTTCATTAACCCTCAATTCAAATCTGTGTTTCATCCCCCGCTCAACGACGGTCATGGTTGCCCCCTGTCATACTCGAGACGCAGGGATTAGATGGGATTGATTTCACAGCTTAATTCCCCTGCTTCTGTTGGCAAAGATCTGCTCTAAAGATCGTGTCAAGCAGTCGATCAGCTATGCTCTCTCTGCATGCTCACTGAAGCTTCACAGAGATGTCCAATCTGACAAGAATATAACAGATATGTATCAGATCAGGCACGTTCAGTAATGCTTCATGCAGCCGACAGATCTGCCCGCAGTTGCAAGGGAGCAGCAATGCTATTCTGTGGGGAATCCTGAACTTGTGTGCACCCCGCTGGTTATTGTCCTCTCGATCCGCTTGACGATCTGAAGTCTGAAAAGAGCTAACAAGTTAAGGTTCACTTCGACTAAAAGAGCACTGGGACGCGCCAGACCCATAGCACATGGTCACAGAGCATGCTACAGATTCCCTGCTAACTTTCACCAGCAAGCAGAACGAATCTGGCCAAACAATATAAAGCCATGTTCCGACTACGCTTTCACGGTCTGGCACGGAAGGTGGATAGACTCTCACTGTACACTAGTGGACACTGGGCACTCACTCGCACAAGGACCTCCAAGGATGTATCTGACACCAGTTATATGCCAATTCATTTGAAAGAGCCACCATCTAAAAGCCAAGCAAGCCAACAAAAGAAGGGCTCTCTCTCTCTCTCTCTCTCTCTCTCTCTCTCTCTCTCTCTCTCTCTCTCTCTCTCTCTCTCTCTCTCTCTCTCTCTCTCTCTCTCT